CCCCAAAAGAAAATCACCAAGACACATCATCATCAAACTCATCAAAACCAAAGACAAAGACAGAATCCTAAAAGCAGCACAGGAAAAACAAAAAGTTACTTCAAAGGACAGCCCGTAAAAATGAGCTCTGATTTCTCAACAGAAACCATGCAAGCAAGAAGGCAATGGGATGGTATATATAAAACCCTGGAAGAGAAAAATTTTCAACCAAGAATTATATACCCGGCAAAACTGTCCCTCAAATATGATGGTGAAATTAGGCGATTTCCAGATAAGCAGAAACTAAGGGAATTTGTTAAAACCAGATCAACCTTACAAGAGATGCTAAAGGAAGTCCTTTGAACAGAGAACCAAAAAGAGCAAATAACAGCCGACCATTAATACACAAGATGACATAACCCAGAAACCACAGCTATGGACATATCCAAAGTAAATGAGCTTACAAGATTGTAAACAGAGAACCAGAGACATGAACTGGCAAGTGAGGATAACTACAAACAAAAAGAGGGAAAAGACTGTGTACAGAACTTCTAAATGGTGAGGATGTTAAGAGAATTGCAAGACAGAATGGACTGTTCTAAACTTGGGGAGAAAATTTTAAATCATAGGGTAACCTCAAAGAAAAATGATAAACCTTCACAACACAATAAAAAAGAAGACAAGCACAAATACACAGCATATACTAAAACAACAACAACAAAGGACATGATAACACGATTCATAAGCATAATGAGTTCACCACAGAAAATAATATGGAACAAAGAAACCAGGGACACCATGAAAAAACACATAACAAAATGACAGCAACAAATTGAAACTTACCAATAATTAGCCTGAATGTTAATGCATTAAATGCACCACCCAAGAGACAGAAAGTTCAGATTGGATAAGAAAACAGAACCCATCAATATGCTGCCTACAAGAGACACACCTTGGAGATAACGACAAAAATCGACCAAAATCAAAGGTTGGAAAAAGATATATCAAGCAACTGGCAACTGTAAGAGAGCAGGAGTGGCAATATTAATTTCTGACCAAATTGACTTTAAGACAAAAACCACCATACGAGACAAGGAAAGACGTTATATA